GCTGACCCCACTTGGATTGTGGTTTATGGATACAAGGAAAAAGGAAACCAGGGCAGGGGTTGTCTAAGTAAGTAAGCTTCAATGTGAGGAAAAGCATACTTATGATCCAAGGTCAGGAAGATAAGCAGCAAGGGTCCAGGTGGGCATTCTGGGACAAGCTGTGTCTCTGTCTCTCTCTTTCTGCCTCTCTGTTTCTCTGTCTTTTTCTTTCTGCCTCTCTGTTTCTCTGTCTCTGTCTCTGTTTCTCTGTCTCTCTCTTGCTCTATCAGTCTGTCTGTCTCTTTCAGCTTCTCTGTCTGTTTCTGTCTATCTCTCTATTTCTCTGTCAGTCTGTCTGTCTCTGTCTCTGTCTCTGTCTCTCTCTTTTTCTGTCAGTCTGTCTTTGTCTCTGTTTTTCTGCTTCTCTGTTTCTCTGTCAGTTTGTCTGTCTCTGTCTCTGTTTTTCTGTCAGTCTGTCTTTTCCTCTCTTTTTCTGCCTCTCTGTTTCTGTCAGTCTGTCTGTCTCTGCCTCTCTTTTTCTGCTTCTCTGTTTCTCTGTCTCTCTCTCTGCCTCTCTGTCAGTCTGTCTCTGTCTCTGTCTTTCTGCCTCTCTGTTTCTCTGTCTGCCTCTGTCTCACTTTCTGCCTCTCTGTTTCTCTGTCTCTGACTCTCTCAAGTATAGACTTGTCCCCTTTTTCTGAATCTTTTAATGCCCCAATTTTCATTTTGGCAGGAAAATTTATCAGAGTTTCCATTGAGTCAACTAAGGGTGTGGTTGGTCACAGTTAGGTGCTTGGGTAGGGCTATTTTTCCTTGGTCTCCAAGCAGTGCTCTGTAAATGGAAGGTTTGGGGTGGGGGTCAGAGTGGTTCTTCTAACCCCCTTACCTTTGATTTCCTATGCATTCAGTTTCTACAGCTATAAAAGAGAGGGTTGGAATTAATGGCCTCTAAACTTCTTTCCAGCTCTAAATTTCAATCTAAATCTGGGATTTGCCTTGCTAGTGATAGATACTAAGAGAGAAAAAATAGATCTACTTAATTCTAATTTTTCTTCTATTTTTTTCTGCCAAGGAGAATGACTTTTGGATTAGAAAGTCTGGAACAAAGATAGCTAATACTTATGTCCAAGAGAAGTGAGGAGATAATAAAAGAACACTATCTATCTTTTTATTAATTCAAGTCACCAGGCCCACATGAACTCTGGTTTTAAAAGACCGTCAGAGATGACTCCTGAGCCTGTATCAATGATCCTTTGGAAGAAAATGGAGAATGCAAGAGTTACTACCAAATTGGAAGAAGACTACTGTTGTCTCAAATTTCAAGGGAGGAAAGAGAATGGAACCTGAAAACTGTGCACAGCCCAGGGAGTTTGGCCTCAATTCCTGGCAAAATTTGTTGCTGTTGTGTCTGACTCTTCATGACCCCATTTGGGGTTGTCTTGGCAGAAGTATTGAAGTGGTTTGCCATTTCCTTCTCCAGCTCATTTTACAGATGAGGAAACTGAGGGAAACAGGGTTAAGTGATTTGCTCAAGGTCACACAGCTAGTAAATGTCTGAGGACAGATTTGAACTGAGGAAGATGAGTCTTCCTGACTTTAGGCTCAGTGCTCTATCCACTCGGCAAAATTCTAGAACATATTATTAAAAAGACGGTTAGTGCACATGTAGAAAATAAGTTGTGACCATAACAAACAGCATGGCTTCATCAAGAATAGCTCATATGGAGGGGGCAGAGCCAAGATGGCAGAGTAAAAGCAGTGACTTGCTTAAGCTCTCCCCCAAACCCCTCCAAATATCTATAAAATATGGCTCCTAACAAATTCTAGAGCAGCAGAACCCACAAAAAGACAGAGTGAAACAAATCTGCAGCATAAGACAACCTGGATGGTTAATTGGAAAGATCTTTTGCACCAGGCTTGGAGAGGAGCACTGTTCAGTGTGGGCGCACAGGCAAAGACCAGGCCTCAGCAAACCTGGACTAGGCCTCGGGCACCAAATCAAGGGCAGCTGTGGTCGTTTCCAGACTTCTCAACCCACAAACACCAAAGACAACTTAGAAAGTCAGTAGGAAAGGTCTGTGATTGTGATGAGAGAGAAACTCGGTCTCGGCCCCAGTCCTGGCACAGCCCTAGGACAGCAGCTGCTTCTGGAGCTCTTGGCCCACAGACTGAGGGGGAATCAAGTGGTTGATCAGAGGAGGATTGCAGGAATCTCTTTGATGGCACTGAGGCAGGAATCTCTTGCTTTGCCCATGCTTGGATCTAGGTCACATGCTTGGATCTGAGTGGCAGTCCTGGGGCGAGACAGAGCACTGGCATGATAGAGGTTGTAGTGGTGGTGGAGAGGCAGAAAAAGTTCCAAGGCAGAAAAGATTGCTTGTGGTCACTCATATATCAGAGCCCAGGCCAGGAAAGGGGTAAACACCTTGCCCTTGTCCATACCACCTTGGAAGAACTAAAAATTTAAGGTCCCTAGAAGTGTCTCTGAAAACAGCTGCACAAAACCCCTGAAGCTTGGGACAGTACATTATCCACACTAGAAGTAGATCCCTACCTCAACAAAGAGTTTAAAAGTTAAGTAATTGTGCAGCAAACTGCACAAAAAAAAGTCAGACCATAGAATCTTTCTTTGGTGACAAAGAAGATCAAAACATACAACCAGAAGAAGATGACAAAGTCAAAGCTCCTACATCCAAGGCCTCCAAGAAAAATATGAATCGGTCCCAGACCGTGGAAGAGCTCAAAAAGGATTTTGAAAAGCACGTAAGATAAGTAGAGGAAAAACTGGGAAGAGAAATGAGAGTGATGCAAGAAAATCATGAAAAACAAGTCAACAGCTTGCTAAAGGAGACCAAAAAAAAAATACTGAAGAAAATAACAACTTAAAAAATAGCCTAAACCAAATGGCAAAAGAGGTCCAAAAAGCCAATGAGGAGAAGAATGCCTTAAAAAGCAGAATTGACCAAATGGAAAAGGAAGTTCAAAAGTTCCCTGAAGAAAATACTTCCTTAAAAATTAGAATGGAGCAATTGGAAGCTAGTGACTTTATGAGAAATCAAGACATTGTGAAACAAAACCAAATGAATGAAAAAATAGAAGACGAGGTAAAATATCTCATTGGAAAAACAACTGGCGGCAGCTAGGTGGTGCAGTGGATAGAGCACTGGCCCTGAAGTCAGGAGGACCTGAATTCAAATCTGACCTTAGACCAAACACTTGACACTTACTAGCTGTGTGACCCTGGGCAAGTCACTTAACCCCAATTGTCTTTAAAAAAAAAAAACCCGTAAAAAAATTGAAAAAAAGAAGAAAAGAAAAACAACTTACCTGGAAAATAGATTCAGGAGAGATAATTTTAAAATTATTGGACTATCTGAAAGCCATGATAAAAAAAAAGAGCCTAGATGTTATCTTTCAAGAAATTATCAAGGAAAACTTCCCTGATATTCTAGAACCAGAGGACAAAATAGAAATTGAAAGAATCCACTGATCACCTCCTGAAAGAAATCCCCAAAGCAAAACTCCTAGGAATATTGTAGCCAAATTCCAGAGTTTCAAGGTCAAGGAGAAAATATTGCAAGCAGCCAGAAAGAAACAATTCCAGTATTGTGGAAACACAATCAGGATAACACAAGATTTAGCAGCTTCTACATTAAGGGACCACAGGGCTTGGAATATAATATTCCGGAGGTCAAAGGAGATAGGATTACAGCCAAGAATCACCTACCCAGCAAAACTGACCATAATCCTTCAGGGGAAAAAAATGGTCATTCAGTGAAATAGAGGACTTTCAAGCATTCTTGATGAAAAGACCAGAGCTGAATAGAAAAGTCGACTTTCAAATACAAGACCCAAGAGAAGTATGAAGAGGTAAACAGGAAAGAGAAATCATAAGGAATTTATTAAGGTTGAACTGTTTACATTCCTACATGGAAAGATAATATTTGTAACTCATGAAATCTTTGTCAGTATTAGGGTAGTTGGAGGGGAAAAAATTATATGTATATATAGATAGAGGGCACAGGGTGAGTTGAAGATGAAGTGGTGATATCCAGAGAATAAAATTCAAGTGAGGGAGGATTATACTGGGAGACAGAGAAAGGGAGAGGTAGAATGGTGTAAATTATTTCACATAAAACAGACAAGAAACAGCTTTTACAGTGGAGGCGAAGTGGAGGAAGGTAAGAGGGAATGAGTGAATTTTATTCTCACCAGATTTGGCTTAAAGGGGGAATAACACACACTTAATTGGTTATGGAAATCTATCTTACCCTACAAGAAAATAGGGAGGAAGGGGATAAGAGAGCAGGGGGATGATAGAGGGGAGGTCAGATTGGAGGAGGGTATAATCAGAAGCAAACACTTCTGAGGAGGGACAGGGTCAAAAGAGAGAATAAAATAAACGGGGAGTGGGATAGAATGAAGGGAACTATAGTTAGTTTTTTTACAACATGACTACTATGGAAGTGTTTTGCATGACTACACATGTATATCCTGTATCAAGTTTCTTGCCTTCTCAAGGAAGGTGGGTGGGAAGGGAGGAAGGGAGAAAATTTGGAACCCAAAGTTTTAAAAACATGTTAAAAAATGTTTATAAAATAAAAAAAAACCTTAATTAAAAAAAAAAAGAGTCTAACCCAAACTGCAAAAGAGGTCCAAAAAGCCTTTGCTGGGTTCTCCCCACACAAACCCCCATCCCTCTTGAGGCTCCCATGGGTTATAAAGGATGTCCTTCAATAAATCTATCAAATCAAATGTAGAAAGTGAAATGGGTAGAACAGGATCAATTCATGTTCATTTTAAGGAAAACTCTTATACATCTAGGTAAATAACGCTAATTCAAATTGGTGCCCAGATTGGGGCTAACTCAAATATTTATCAAATTTGTATATGACACAAAGCTAGGAGCAATAGCTCAGACTCTAGATGACAGAATCAGGATCCAAAAAGTTAATTGATAGGCTCGACTATCCAATAGAATCAATGTAATAATGAGAATGAGAAAAAATGTAAATATTTACCTTTGGGTTCCATAAATGAGCATCACAAGATGGAGTAAACTTGACCAGACAACAATTTGCCTGAAAAAAAGATCTGGGGTTTTAGTGGACTGTAAGGTCAAATGAGATAATTGTATGATGTGGTGGCCAAGAAAATTAACAGTCTTAGGTTGATTTAAGAGAAGGATAGATTCAAGGAAGTAAGTTAAAGAGGTAACAGTCTCACTGTATTCTGCCCAGGTTAAAACATATTGGAAATACTGTTTTTGTTCTGGATGCCACATTTTTGGAAGGATATTGATTCACTAGGTGGCATTCAAAAGAAGGCAACCAGGACAATTAAGAGCCTTAAGGTCATGCCACACAGGGGTGAAGAAATGGGCTGTTTAGCCTGGAGAAGACTTAGCCAGGGACATAAGATAGTTGTCTTCAAGTATCTGAAGATCTGTCATGTAGAAAAAAAAAATTAGAAATGTTCTGCTTGGCCCCTATAGGACAAAATGAATAGGTAGAGGTTATAAAGAGATAAACTGAACCTCAGCTTAAGGAAAAACTACATAACAATGAGTTATTATCCAAAAACAACCGGGGCCATCCAAAAGGGGAATGGGCTGCCTCAGGTGGTTTTTGGGCAAAAGCAGGATGACCATTTGTCAGGCATGTTAGTGAAGGAATTCTCTTCCAGTTATGTGTTAGACTAGAAAGCCATAGAGGTTACTCCCAGCTCTGAAATTCTGAGATTCTATTCTGCTACCTTTCCAAGATGGGGTATTTGAAATAGATCTGTAGCCCTGATACTGAATACACAAAAAAACTCTCACATTACAAAAGCTAATCCAATATCACACATACAAAAAACTCTTCAAATAGTACAAAAGCTAGTACCATATCAGTTAATAGCCAGCTCTTTTGACCAGAGACTGAAAGGATTCCATCATGAAGTCATTCCTTATCCATTTCCCCGTTGTTCTTTTCACACCTAGAATTGGACTCCAGTTACTGCAGTACTGATCAAAGAAATTCTAAGGCTTCCCGTTTAGGTCATTGACACTATCATAAAAGTGAATCCTAGTTTCAATAATCATTTCTTGGAAACTCTAGATAAACTCTAGATAAAAAGATACATGTATGGTGCTGTCCGGTCGTGTCCGACTCTTCTTGACCACATTGGGGGTTTTCTTGGCAAAGATATTGCAGTGGTTTGTCATTTCTTTCTCCAGCTCATTTTACAGATGAGGAAACTGAGGCAGATAGGGTTATGTGACTTGCCCAGGGTCATACAGCTAGTAAGTGTCTAAGGACAGATTTAAACTAAGAGGATGAGTCTTCCTGACTCCAGGCCTGGTGTTCTATCCACTGCACTATCCAGCTGTCCCTGTAGGTGTATCAGTGTCTACACAGAGATAACGTATACAAACACACACATATATATATAAACATTTATATATTATTATATTATGCATGATAACATAAAGTAGACACGTGTATATATACATTAGCTTTAAGTCTAAGATGGAGATTAGACTTGTGATTTTGTATTACAAGGAACTTTTGAATAAGGAAACACCTTTTATAAATGCAGGTCAGCCCTTCTCTGCCTCTTATAGTCTACAGCAGGGGTGGAAAACCTGCCACCTCGAGGCCACATGTGGCCCTCAAGTGAGGCCCTTTGACTAAATCCAAACTTCACAGAACAAAGGGGATCAGGCAGCCCTGGGTTCGAGTCTTGCCTGAGACATGTATTGACTGTGTGATCCTGGACATGTCACCTAGACTCTCTGTGCCCCCAGGTTAATCTCTAAGAATTGAAGAATAGTCGTCATATTGGTAGAGGGAGTTTCCCCACCAGGAAAGCACAGATCTAGACACTTCCAAGCAAACAGGTAATACATATGAAGAGACACAGAACAGATCATGCCTTTTTTTAATTTTTAAAAATTTTTAAAATTCTTTTAAATTTTTTAATTTTTTAAAATCATCTCCCCCACCCCCCTCACACACACCCAAGAAGGATAAAAGGCCCTTCCTGCACAAAAATATTCCTACTTGCTTTAATTGTAGTAGAAAAAGCAAAAACAAGACCAAAAACAAAACTGAAAGCAATTTAGCTTGAGGAAGACTTGTGATTCAAATCCTGCCTCTGACCCTGGCTGTATGACCCTGAGCAAATCCCCTCACTTCTCAGTGCTCCCACACAATCCTCTAAGATTATAACATTGGTAGAGGGAGTTTCCTCATAAGGAGTTTCCCACAACAATGCCATCTTAGGTAGGTCTGGTCCAAAAACAGACATTTGTAATCGAGCCAAATTTAACAGAGCTTCGGACAAACTTGGAAAGGGACACTGAGAAAACATTTGTGCCTTCTTTGGATTCATTCGTTCTCAACTGTTAAATGCTCATATGTTATTCACAGGTTTTTATAGCTGAAACAATCCTCCAAAGTCATCTAGTCCAACCCGCTCATTTTACAGACGAAGAAATTGAGATTCGGAGAGATGAAATGATTTGCCCTAGGTGCAGCAGTTTGTAAATTTCTGATGTAAGATTAAACTACTGTTCTCTGCACCACGCTGCTTGTTTTTTATGTTTATTGGTGGTTTATCAATGCGTACTATGTTGATGATAAAATAATTTTTGTTTATTTTTAATTTTAAAATGATTTTTAAAAAACAAATTTCAGGCATTTGTGGTTTCAGGGAGGAAACTCCACCAACTCAAATAACAATAGAAGGGGGGTCTAAATTGGGAGTTGCTGGGGCTAAAACTTCATGGTGGGGATAGGGGGAGAGAAGTAACCTCTCTGAAATCGGCCGGGCTGATGCTCAGATAACATGCATACCCTCTGGGCCAGAAAGCTCACTCTCTGAGGGTTGGGCAAGGGGAGGAGGTTAAATGAGAGCAATCTTAGCGAACCCTCTGGTCAGTATTTGAAAACGAATCTGATGCACACAGATTGACAGAAAATAGATGTAGAAGTGAATACTTACCTTCATCTCTGAGAAGAATATTAAGCAATAATTCAGGAATTTGATGTACACTGGTATAACCCAGCTAGAAGTATTCAGTTTCTTAAAACAGTCCCAGTTCCAGGAAGTAAGGAGCAAAAAAAAAAAAAAGAAGAAGAAGAAACCTCAGAGAACAGACATTGGCTCAGCTAAGGATTGTGTAACCCAGGAACTTTCAACAGCTGCCAGATTTACAGGATTAGACCTGCTTCAATTAAGCTGTTTTGGTAAAAGGAATTCTGGGAGTTGTATTTTTTACAGTTAGTCAGAAAACAAGCATTTATTAAGCACTTACTATGTGTCAATCACTGAGTTCAGTGCTGTGAATACAAGAAAGGCAAAAAACAGTCACTGTCATGTAGGACCTCATTTTTTTTCCTGAGTGCACCTCTATTTTTTTCAATATATTTTTATTCATTTTGTTAAATATTTCCCAATTGCATGTAAAAAAATGTTGACATTCATTTTCTAAAAATTTGAATGAGAAATTCTCTTTCTCTTTTCCATCCCTCCCCCCTCCTTGAAAAGATAAGAAATTTTATATCAATTATACATGCAAAGTCACACAAAACATATTTTTATATTAGCCATGTTGCTAAAGAAAACACAGACAAAAAAACCACGAAAGATAAAGAAAGTTAAAGAAAAATGCTTCAATCTGCATTCAGAGTTTACTAGTTCTCTCTCTGCAGGTGGATAGCAGTTTTCATCAAGGGCCCTTGGAATTGTTTCTTGGATCATTGTCTTGATTAGAATAGCTTAAGTCTTCCAAAGTTGATCATTGTTACTGTGTACCCTGTTCCCTGGTTCTCATATACAACTTCCCACATTTTTCTGAAACCGTCCTGCTTGTCATTTTTTTTTAGGCTTTACATATACATTCTTATTAAATATATTTTTCACATTAGTCATGTTGTAAAGACAAACTAGAATGAATGGGAGGAACCACAAGAGAGAAGAAACAAAACAAAACAAAACAAAAAAGCAAATAGTATGTTTCCATCTGCATTCAAACTACATAGTTCTTTCTTTGAATGTGGATCGCATTTTCCTTCATGAGACTTTTGGAGATGTCTTAGATCCTTGCATTGCTGAGAAGGGCTAGGTCTATCAACGTTAGTCATGTCACAGTGTAGCTGTTTCTGTGTACAATGTTCTCCTGGTTCTCCTCACTTCACTCAGCATCATTCCATATAAGTCTTTCCAGATTTTTCTGAAGTCTGCCTGCTCATCATTTCTTATAGCACAATAGAATTCCATTACATTCATATACTGCAACTTGCTCAGCCATTCCCTAACTGATGGGCATCCTCTCAATTTTCAATTCTTTACCACCACAAAAAGAGCTGCTATAAATATTTTTGTACATGTGGGTCCTTTTCCCTTTTCTTTGATCTCTTTAGGATGTAGCCCTAATAGTGGTATTGCTGTGACAAAGGAGGAAATTTTAGGTAAAATCCTACCTTCTGCAAGAAACTTCTCCCATTCCTCTTCCTTAATGCTAATATCTGCTCTCCGTTGCTTATTTCCAAGCTATCTTATATGCACCTTGTTTGTGTATAGTTATGGGAATGCTGTCTTCCCCTCTCCTCCATTACATTGTGAGCTCTTTGAGACCAGGCACTGTCTTTTATCTCTCTATTCTCAGCACTAAACACAACACGTAACAAATAATTATTATTATTTTGTAATTATCAGATAATTTTATATGCTTAATGCTTAATAAATATTGATTGACTGATTTGGGGAGGAAAAAAAGAGTGTGAGCCAGGCACTAAACTCACTGAAGAAGGAAGGAGAGAGTTCAAGGGTGGAGGATCTGCAGATAACAGAAAAGCCTTCTGTCCTTAAATATAAGAAGGTTAAAGACCATTTTTAAAATTAGATTTCTCCTCTCTTGGATCTTTTCTAGAATTTTTTTTTAATAACTTGGGAAGTGGTCCTGCCTTCAGGCTGGAGCTATTTTCCACCAGCACTGGCCTGGGAGTGAGCTGGGACAGCTCAAGTCTAGCTCAGGCGGGGCTTCGAAATAGCTGAGTTACCTTCAGGCAATAATCTTTTCTGGGCTGCCCTTTTCATGAGCCCCCTGATGTGGTGCTGACATGTCCTGGAAGATGAAAAACCCGACATATGAATGTAACAGAATACTATTGTGCTATAAGAAGTGATGAGCAGGCAGACTTCAGAAAAACCTGGAAAGACTTATATGAACTGTTGCTGAGTGGAATGAGCAGAAGCAGGAGAACGTTGTACACAGCAACAGCCATGTTGTGAGATGACTAATATTGATAGACTTAACCCTTCTCAGCAATACAAGGATCTAAGACATCTCTAAAGGCCTCATGATGGAAAATGCTATCCACATCCAAAGAAAGAACTATGGAGTTTGAATGCAGATCGAAGCATACTATTTGTTATTTTTTTTCTTCTGTTGTGTTTTGTTTCCTCTTTCTGGTGGTTCCTCCTATTGGCTCTAATTCTTATTTACAACATCACTAATGTGAAAATATGTTTAATAAGAATGTATATGTATAGCCTATATCAGATTGAGCACTATCTTGGGGAGGGAAGTGAGGAGGGAGAGGGAGAAAATTTAAAACTAGAATACTTGTGGAAGTGATTGTTGATAAAGCAAAATAAATTAATTTTTAAAAAGGTGAAAAAAAGATACAAAACCTCATATGGAAACTGCAAAATGCTCACTTTGCTTCAGATTGGAGCAAGTTATCTGACGGCAGATAACTGTAAAATTTAAAGGTCTCTACACTCTTCTGAGAGATTGAGAAGTGTTTTGCCCAAGTTCATACAAGCAGTAAATGGCAAGGCCAGAATTAAAATCCAGACCATTTGACTACAAATACAATATTCATTCATCCATACCAACCAATTTTCTTTTCTTTTCTTTCTTTTCTTTTTACTTTTTAAAAATTTTCTTTTTTTTTAAATTAATTTATTTTTAGTTTTCAACACGATTTTCTACTAGAATAAATAGTATTACACTGGAAATATCATTAGACTTTGAGTAAAAAGTCCCCAGTTCAAATCTTGGCTCTGCTACTTACAAAGTCTTATGTGACTTTGGGCAAATCACTTTATCTCACCTGCCTAATGAGGCAGTTGGACTAGGAGCCTTTGAGAGCCCCTGGCTCTAAATCTGTGATCCTATGATCTCAATTCTAGGAATCAAGTTGCAAATTATACCATTCTCTTCCAGTTCCCTGCCTCAGATACAATGTCCCTTTTTTCAGTCATACTCCTTGCCCTTTCTGCAGAATTGGACACAGCCACATTCTTTTTAATAGTTTTTCTTCCTTGAACTTATTCCATGCCTAAAATGCTCCCTTCTTCATCCACCTACTGGCTTCCCTGGTTTCAAGTACCAACTAACATTCCATTATCTACAGGAAGTCTTTCCCTACTTCTTTTAATCCAAATGACTTCCTGTCTTAATTATTTCCTATTTATCCCGTGTATATAGCTTGTTTGCTTGTGGTCTCCTCTACTTGATTGCAAGCTCCTTGAAGGTAGGGATTGTCTTTTGGCTCTTTTTGTGTCTGTACTCCTTTGCACAGTGTCTGGCACTTAATATTTATTGACTGTCTCACTGACTGTTTATTGACTCACTGACATTTTATTGACTGACTCATTGATTATATGACAAGGTTTTTGATGTTTCTTTATATCACCGGCACTTAGCAGAGTGTCTGGCAGATAGTAAATATTTAATAAATACTCATTCATTCATTTATTAGCACTTAGCACAGTGCCTGACACATTGGCAGATAATAAGCGCTTAATAAATGCTTGTTGATTGATTTAGACCACACTGCATCTATGCCCAGGGCTTCTTTTTAGTCAGTCGGGTGTATGGGTGTTCAGGGAGGTCTAGCACCTCTGGCGTGAGGGTTTGCTGAATCCTTTTCAGGGCTGCTCACTCACCTTTGGTGTCCACTTTCATGGACAAACTGTTGAGGGTTATAACCAATAGGCTTCAAACCCATCAGTGAGTTGTGGAGATGCCTACCCCAAGAACATGAAGACTTCCCCTGGCAGAATGGGTGAGTAAGAACAATTTGTTCCAATGACCATCGAGGCAGCTGAAGCAGGCATTGTAGAGAGCTGAGAACTTGATCAAATATCAAAGACGCCAATGTCATCCACTCCATCCTGGGCCACTGTCAGTTGTCTTCACTTTTGCCCTGCCACTGGACTTTGATGACATAGGAAAAGAGAATGAAGCTGACAACTTTATGCAATTTACTTAAATCCAATTCATGAGCAAGTCAAGACGTTACCTGTAATGACATTGGTCCTCTTCAAAAATGAAGTACAAACAGCAACATTCCTCTCTCCTGGTTCTCCTATCTGTCTGACTGTTCTTTTATATTTTTTAAATCAATCTACTATTTTTAAACCATGGATCTACCCCCAAAACTGTCTCTCTCTCCCTCTCTCTCTCTCTCTCTTTCTCTCTCTCTCTCTCTCTCTCTGTCCCTCTCCCTCTCTCTCTGTCTCTGTCTCTCCGTCTGTCTGTCTGTCTCTCTCTCCCTCCCACTTCCATAACTTGAATTAAATTATCACCTCTATACAGGTGAACTCCAAATATGCATACCCATCCCCAAACTTTCCCCTGAGCTCCAGTCCCAGATTTCCAACTGCCCCTTGGATCTCTCCACTTGAATGGCTCAACAATCCTTGAGAACCAACATGTATAAAACTGATGTCATCACTCTCTCCCCAAAATCTGCCCCTTCTTCCATCTTTCCTTGTATCAAACTTGTGTCCACATGTTCTCCCAGAGGCCAGGGAGATTTATTATGTTTTTTTATCTTAGTATCCCTCGCACAGCGACATGAGCACAGTAGGTTTAATATTTATTGAATTGTTTAATTACAGATAGGGTCATGTGAAAGTCTGCAAATATTTTAGATGTGTGCATGTGAGTATATATATATATGTGTGTGTGTGTGTGTGTGTGTGTTTATATATAATATATAAATATATTACATATATAATATATAAATATATTATATATATATATAAACAATATATATAAACAACCATAAAATAAGGTCCTTG